TTATTAAACTATAAAGCTTAATTTTTATGGGTAAGATTAATTTGAAATCAGCAATATGTTCTTCCTCGAGGTTGCCTTCATGAATAGATAAAATAATGTGTTTCTTTTTCTTTCAAAATACTTGTATCCAGTGTACGCCAAGCATTGTCCTTACCTCAGAGGGACCACAGATAAATTCAGTCACAGGTGTCAAGGGACTTGATGCAGGGCTTAAAAGCACAAGAAGAGGGATGAATACCAGGTACAGCCGTGACCCACAGAGGACAGGGGCATAGTAAGTCTGGGTGCCATGCAAATCGTCACTGTGATGATGTCCAAGACTTTGAAAATACGCAATGGATGCCGAGAGAAGAATTCTATCATGAGAAAGGAACCAGAGTATTTCCAAGGTACAAAGCAACCTGGGGGCTTTGTGAAAAGCCCGGAGGTTCAAATGAAGGCCCTGGCTGTGAGTAATCGTATCGGTGCTGTCAACAATTTCCTAGCTTATCCCTACTGAGGAGGCAAGTTCAGGGCGCCTCCTAGTAGAAGATGAAAATATTATTATAAAGTCTATTTAAATAAACCTCCTATACAAAAAGTCACCCCTTTTGAATTTGTTGAAATAAGAGAGTCATAATATTTATTTCATGAAGAGGGTGTGAGGCTTAGGATTAATTTACTTCATTACTCCTTAGAGTACTTTGAAATTTATAGAATCCCATATGTGGGTTTGGAGGAACTTGATGGGGAATATTCTAGATGCTCCATTAGGTTTTGTATCATCTTCAAGTGCAGTCACCTGCACTCCATCTTTTCTGATCATCATTACAAGACACCTGGTACCCCCAAGGGCCTCCCAAGTGCAGGCCTCAGCCAGCCCACTCTAGGTGATACCTCTTTAATCATTCTAGAAACTTCCTCTCCTCTTAATAATTCATGACATTCTTACAGCACATACTGTTCATATGTTTATGTGTCCCCAAGGAGACTATAGACAACTAGAGATGATCAACTAGCTTTCCTTGTTCTTTGACTCTGGTATCTTACATGGCTATTAGCAGACAAGAAGAGGAAATTAAATAAAGGTTCATTGAATGAGAGCAAGAACTCTGCTCTAGTTACAAGGCAAAACCTTATCGGTACCGTCAGAGGATGGTTTTTATTTGTGCTGTGCATGGACACCAGCACTTCCCCTTTCCAACTAACAATGAATTTAATACCATCTATCACTTAAAGGAGAGGTTCTCACCCTTAGCCACACATTGCAGCCATTTGGGTACAGTTTACAAATGACAAGACACTGATGCCTGTTTCAACCTCTCCCATATCTAGCAAAAATTTTGATTTAATTGTTCATGGTGGAGGTCGTTGGCCATGGTCTTTTTTAAATGCTCCTGTGCTGATTCTGCTATCTAGCTGGGCTTGGGTTACCCAGACTTAATATGGTACTTAAGGAGGTCCCCACCTTCTTCTGGAGACTCAGTGTGATGATTTTACTTTCCTTTGTATTCAGCAGTTACTGTTGTAACCATTCACTAGGTAATAAATGTTTTCTGGGGACAGTACATCAATACTGATTAGTTTAGCTCCTGAGTTACAGTTTGATCACACACACACACACACACACACACACACACACACACACACACACACACACACAAACACACATCTTCTATCCTAGATTGGAATCATCTGGAGGGCAGGAACTATGTCTAGTTCTTCCTGGCATCCTAATGACATGCACATAGCAGACCAGACATGTTGTGATGACTTAAACCAGGGCCAACAACAAATCTAGCGGAGGCCATTTTAATTCTCCTGTGAAGACATGTCTTTGGGAAGAATAAAAATATTGAAGAAAGGGAGGGGTGGAATTGAAGCAGAGTAGAAAAAAAAGAGTAAATAAAAGTCAAGTGGAAAAAAAAAAAGCTAAATTAGTCCAAGAGAAAATATTTCCCGGCTCCTTAAGAGGATTTTTTTTTTTTGTAAACACTGAAGCAGAATAAACAAGAGAATTAACTTGGCTTGTGCCTTGATAAGGAGATTTCTTTCTTAGTTATATAATTTTACAAAGTTTCCAAGGGTGTAAAGAAAATAATCAGACAGGGAGGATTCCTTCTCCAGGGCAATACCATTCAGCTCTTAGGTTAATCAGCTTGAAGAGCTGCTAAGTTTGACCTGACCCCCTTCCATCTCTGTGATCCCAGACTAAGCCTAACATTCAATAGCCCTGGTGGAGAGCCCAAAGTCATAGAAACGGATAAAACATAATCCTCTTTCCATAACCTTGATCCCTTGGTGTAGTGACCTCTACATGCAAACCAAAAAGAAAAAAAAAAACCTAAGAAGCAAAACTCCCCCCAAAACAAAAATCCCTCAAAAAACAAAGCAAACCAACAACAACAAATTATGCCTGGTATCTTCTTTGGCTGATATCTCAGAGGCATAGCTGTATGGATAACTTGGAATAACCTAAGCCTGATTCTTTACTAAGTGGTGTTATAAGAAAATTAAACTTGGTGCAATTACCTTTGAGTCAAGGCTTAAAGCCCAAAAGGCTTATCTTCATATGGTTTCTATACTTTTCTGTGAACTAAGATCACAGGAAAGACTCCCTGCTAACTATGAGGAAAGGTCATCTGATAGAGATGTTTTCTGTATCAAACATTATCCTAGTCACAAATTTAACAAGTGGGTCCTCCAAAACAGGCTTATTTCTACAGAGTAATTAAATATATGTTCTTTTGCCTGTATTGTCCCTTAAAACATTGATTGTTTATTATTGCTTAAAAACAGGGCTCAAAGGAATTTAAACCGAATCCTAATTGATTAGTTGGGATAGTAACAAGTTGTCCTTTGTAGATTAAGATAACACCACTGACCCATCTAATAGGATATGAGCTAATAGACTGTCACTGATCCATCCTCACTTGGCTCTTGGTTCTTGTGAACAGTGCCCTGAATTTGACCTTTTCTGCCAAGAGCCACCAAAATCCTTTAGTCACCAAAGAGATATAAAACCATAGCATTTGTCCTATTAGCCACTTCCTGTTGACACTGAACACATGGAAATGATTAGACATGTTATTACAAGGTGGAGAAAAATGTGGTTATAACTTTGCTCATAAACTCCAGCTAGAAATTGGTAAAACTAGAATCAGGGTGTCTTGAATTGATGATATCATATGTAAGAGACCACATCACAAAATCAGTGCATTACTATAAGAATGTCATCTGAAATATAAAACAGAGATAAACCATCAGTTTTGAAGACGTGAGGTTAAGGATCTATGCAAGTGAATGAGTCGATACTGATTCACAAGAAATTTTTCTCCCTCTAGCGGAGTTTTAGATAGGAATGCCTAACACTCCTTAGTGATATTGCTGATAGCTGCGAAGTTTGTCACTATTTACCACCTAGGGTACGCCCCAAAGCCCACTAGGGTTTCCAGGAATGTTTTGAATGTATTCCACCAAGAGGGGAAGAAGTGGACTCCATACCTGGATCATCAGGGAAAAGCTATCACCAAAATAAGGAGCATGCCAGGGCCTGAAAACCCATGAACACTTACTTCCCTGATGAAAACAAGCTGCTTTATCTTCTCAGACAGGGCTCACCCAATCACCAAGATGGAATGTTATTTACACAGTCCCAAGAAAACCAAGAAGAATCTTCTGGTCCTTAACCAAAGTTATTCACAAAGTTATGTCTAGAACAGGCAATGGCTCTTGTCTGTTTTGGATGCTTCCTGCCTCCTTGATAAAGAGCCAATTACCTAATGCAGGTAAAGGCAACAACACCCACAAACACCCCGTCCTACCTCTTCCAGAAAGGACCACCTGCATGATAGTTTATGTTTCTTTTATTAATTACCTGGATTTGCTGCTTATTTAGTAAGACAGGCAAATTTGGCTTCTAAATTCAAAACATCAGACTATTCACCCTGACTCTTTCCTTCTCCTTCTTGTAGGGTGAGATCATGATTGAGTGATCACAGCAGTATGAGGTAGAGGGAGGATGTGAGGAAAAAGAAATTTCCCTGGTTGTGAGAGAGGTCAGAGGGTGAGGTCTCTTTTTCTAGAATGGGTAGAGAAGATTAAAAAGGGTGGAGAGCAGAACCCATTTTTATTTTTATTTATTTTATTTTATTTATTTGTTGGTGTGGGGCTTGAACTGTGGGCCTGGGCACTGTCCCTCAGCTCAAGGCTAACACTTTACCACTTGAGCCACAGCACCACTTCCAGGTTTTTCTGCTTATGTGGTGCTGAGGAATCGAACCCAGGGCCTCATGCATGCAAGGCAAGCACTCTACCACTGAGCCACCTTCCCCGCCCCAGAATCCTTTTTTAAATGTGTGTGTGTGTATGTGCGTGTGTGTACGTGTGTGTATGTGTGCGTGTGCATGTGCGTGTGTGTGTGTGTGTGTGTGTGTGTGTGTGTGTGTGTCTATATCTGTCTGTGTGTCTGTATGTCTTCACTCAAGGCCAGATAGAAATCCTACTAGGATGTTCATCCTTACAGCGGTCTCTCTGGCATCATTCCTTATTTGAAATCTCTCTCTTACTCAGTAATATAATAGTTCTCAGAGTCTGGGGGATCACTTACTCACTTAGCAGGATCTGTGCAGCTTCAGGCTTTCAAAGCACAAACACGCCAAGAAAGAACATGACTATTATTTAACTTATGAATAAATTTTTATCTAGTCCTCAACAAATATTAGCTAAGTAAAATGATCATTTAGGGAGAATTTGAAATCCCCATCAGTGTGGGTCTCAGTCATTTTCAAATCTCAGTGAGGATGCTAACTCTCTGGGATCTATCCTTACACTGTCCCTCTGCCTGTGGCTAACCCTCCTACTTCATTGTAACTTCTGTTGTGGCATGCAGGGTTTCTTTATCCTCCCCTGGCCAATGCTAGCCCTGAGAAGATAAGAAGGTCAACACTTTCTGAAGAGGCTCTGACTTTTAAGTTCCTTTTGTGCCCTTCATAGTCTGAGAACACTGTCAGAGTACTCACCTGTTTTCTCTCTGAATCAAGGTGCTGGAGAATCAGCCGGGTGTTCACGCTATGACTCCAGGTGTTTCCCAGTGCAGCTACAACACAGCTGGATCCAGAAGTACCTGAAATGAGATAAGGCAAAGCCAGGTTTATGGATGTTCCTTGCTTGTGATGGCATTTGATAGAAACAGTGCCCAGTCATTGCTCATTGCTCAGAGAGTACTTAGAGACTTGGTTTACCGCCACAAAAGCTAATCAATTAGAGGAAGAAGAGAGGGGTTAGGGAACGTGAGACCAAAAAAACAAAAACAAAACAAAACAACACCACTCCCCCACACACAAAAAAAAACCCAAAAAACCAGCACTGGAGTTCCTTCAGCCACAGTGGCAATCATCACCGCTGGGCTGAGAGTAACAGTTACATGTCACCAAGAGTTTGTATCAGAAAGCAGCACGGAGTTGTTGCTAATAATGAACCACGTGCCTCCCCATCCCTGCAAAAAAGTATACTGCCCTTTTACAGGATAACAGCCAGAAATGAAAGTCAGAGCTTAACAGATTTGTTAGAAGATTTTAGTTTCATTTTCCATATCAATACAGAATATTGTGGCACATATGTAATTCTTTTGCTCTCCTCTTTCTGTATACACACAGAAAACGAATCTGGAGGACCTCAACATTTTACATAGAGTCTAGCTCTGACAGTCCTATTTCAAGAGAAGAATTTCTTTACCCTAAGACTTTCCTGTAAAGGGGACAATTGGAAGTAAACTTCATCTGAGTTCCTAATCTACCCCACCTTATACTTCAGACATTCCCTTACATCTCAAAGCTTAATAGGTCCCTCTTGCCAGCACCAGGAAAAGACCATTCCTGATCCCTATGCTTTTCTTCTCCTGAGGCAAGCCTTCCAGTTCTGCCACTGAGAAGCCAGGTTCCACCACTATGCCTAGCACATTCTAAAGTCTTTTCCAAAGTTGGCACAGGTCATGCCAGAGATCCTGGCCTTAGAGGAGTCTCAAAGGGTATTATTTTGTTACCTCATAACCCCAGATGTCATCTCTATTCAATGAGGGGACTAAAGGCATAGAGACTGAAGCCCGCTGAAGTTAAAAAAAAAAAAAGGACTTCAGTTTCTCATTTGTTGCTCCCACTGTGTCACCTGATTTGCATAACTCAATATGAAGTAGGAATGAGTTTCTTTTCTAGGTGTATTTCAGGGTGGTCTGAGGACTGCATATAGTCTTAAGCTCCTAGGCCTACATGCTACAGTTGATAGGTGTCAATTCAGTGGTTTTTAGCTGGAGTCAGCAACATCCAACTGGGATTGCGACTGGCACCTAGAAGGTAGAGATTAGTGACACTGCTAAACAACTTATAATACACAAGATAGGTTCCAAGACAAAAAAAAACTAGCCCAAAACACAACAGCACTAGGTTGAGAACCCATGACTTCGATAATCCCATCCATACATATTTTTCCTGATTTAAGCAGATTCGGCAACTATTTAGATGGAAATAAATAACAAGGGCTTTGGCAAGCTGGGGAGCCCAGCTGAAAGGGAACTTTAGCATCGGAAAGAGCAGAACTGGGGGTAAACATGGTTTATCCTATATACAAATCACGGCAAGCACAAATCAATGTAAAGCCAAATAATCTAGGCTGTGTGGATCTGATTATTCCATTCACCTCAGTTGTTTTCCAGGCCTGAGGATAAAATCTTAAGTCTTAAACAATGATCTCTGGGCGCTTCTCCTCCACCTCTGCGTGTCCCTCTGGTCGCGTCTTTCTTAGGATGACCTCCTGACGTCTCTGTCCTCATCCTCCTTGGCCTCTTGTCAGCAGTTGATAAAGCTTCTCCTTCTTGGCATCTCCTCTCCTAGTCTGTTTCTCCTTTTTACCACGCCAATTACCTCTTTCCCTTCTCTGCTTTCTTTCCTCCCTCTCTTAGCTGGGGAGTTGGGTATGACCATTTTTTCCCCTTTTCTGATACCAAATGCCTTCAGTGGCCATGAAAATAATGTTCATATAAATGTACCCTAATTGTGAAGGCAAGTATTTGTCCATTAGCACACAGAAATTTCTTATTACTACAAAAAGATATACTCTCTTCCATTTTTCTTGACATATAGAATGCTCTCAATTCACCTTTCACTTTCTACTTCTTGAGACACATTTACAGGGAAATACTCTCTGCTGTAGAAAACTAACACTGCAAGAGAAATAGCAACTCTATTTGCATTTTAAAAGACAGCCTTAGTGAGAGAATTCATACATCACCCAATTCATCCGTTTAGAGCATATAGCTCAATGACTTTTTAGTATATTCACCATTATTCAACCATCACTGCCATCCAGTTGAGAGCATTTCATCAGCCCCCAAGAAAGACTGCACCTCTTGGCCATCAGTCTGGTATCCCATGCCTCGTCCCAAGTCTAAGGCAATCATGAATCTATGCCTCCATAGATTCAGCAACTTGCTTTTGATCTTGGAGTGTGAGGGAGGTGATGAGGAGTAGCAGGACTGTGGTGAATTGGTGAATTCATTCAGGACCTCAAGGGAACAGCCTCTATTTAGATCTAGTTGCTGTTGTCATGTGGCAAAGTGAGTTCATAGTTAACCACATTTTTTTAAAAAAAGATAAGCCACGAATCAATATTTTTAAGAAACATTTCCTGGCGTGGCTTAATTTTTACCTTTGTAAGTTTTAAAAACAAACACATTAGTGAGCCAGAGAGACCTCTATCCCATCAAGTTAGCAATGTCTGCTCCATGGGGTGTTTTCTCACTGTTGACAAGGATGTCACTTCCATGTAGGTGATTTCTGAGCTTTTATATCATTCTCTGAATGACATACCTGCCCTTCATTTTCAACCAGATTTTTAACATTCTAACTTTGATATCTTCAAATCAAGCTCATAGCTTTCCCTGTAAATGGACACCCCCTCCCCCTTTTTTTCCTTTTTCCTTTTTGACTTTCAGTTAATCTAGTTTGAAACCTCACAGTTCTGTTTTTAGAACTCTTTCATACTTCCAATTAAGTGTGAAATCCTAGCTGCACACTGGTGGCTCATACCTGTAATCAGGAGGTTAATCAGGAGGCTGAGATCTGAGGATCTCAGTTCAAAGCCATCCTTAGTAGACAAATCTGAGAGATCTTCACTTCCAATTAACCAGCAAAATCTGGAAGTATGGCTCAAGTGGCAGAGTGACTACTTGGAGCAAAAAAGCCAGGTGAGAACATGAAGCCCTGGTTCAACCTTCGATACCAGCATGAGTACATGTTCACACACACACACACACACACACACACACACACACACACACACACACACACACACACACACACACACACAGAGTACGAAAGCCTGTTTATTTACCTGTAAAACCCTATTCTCTTCCTACAATTCCTTTCCAACCTTAGGTCCATATTAGTGTCCACCTATGGGCCACTATTTGAGCTATCTCACTGGTGTCCATGCAGCTATCAGCTTCTCATTACACCACATCCTCTGTGTTACTACCTGATCATCTTCCTTCAATCACACATTTAAGCTTATTAGCTATCCTACCATGTACAACCAGCGTGTTCAAAAACTTTCAACGGCTCTCAGGTACCTTAAAACAATTCTAAATTCCTGAGATGGACATTCAAGGACCTTACCACTTCTCTCACTCCAGTTCAGCTTTTACTCCAATTTAATCAATCCTTGTCCAAGTCTCCTATTCAGCTGGAGTGTACCATATGTCCATAAGTTCAAGGTTTACCCAAGCCTTCAATGACATTTCCCATGTGTTAACTTCTCTTATCACCACAAAAGCATGTGGTCCTCTTTTATACATTCATAACACCTTATTCCATCCTATTATGTTCTATTATGGTGTATTATTTATACACTTTTCTTATTATCCTTAATATATATGATAAAAGAGTCCAAACCATGTCCAATTTATGTCAGCGTGCCTGAATCAAGGATGCTTATAAATACCGATTAAATGATGAAATCATAAATTACTTCCAACAAAGTTTGGATCACGTTATATACTTACTTCAGCAACAGATTTACATTCTTAACTCTATCTTGTTTAAGATAAAATTAATAGGCTTACATTTTTAAAGCAAACTTCAGAAGCCAGTTGCTTACATGTCTGTCAAGTGGCAGGATGGAGTGAGGCTAATCTTTAAAGTTTGCCAAGAAAACACTACATGTGATAATTAGGAGTTACTAATTGTATAAGCACTCATTTTCTTTTTGTGTGTGGGGGATAAAACTGGAGTTTCCCAGGTATTAAGGAAGATTCAGAATGATTTCAGAGCTCACATTTTTATTTGGACCATAACTTTTTAAAGAACCCTATCTCATCAAACCAGTGAGAACCATATAAAAAAAGTTCTCATGTACTTGGCTGTTATCTAACTTGGGTCCCAAGTAAGAGCCATAGTACAAATGGCCACAGAAAATCTTCCAGTAAAAACTCTGAGAGTAAGTTTGAAGAACTGTATTTTCAGGAGGTTATACCAATATCAAGCCAGTCAGTGTAAGAGTAACTACTCCAAGGCCCTAAAAGTTAATGATGATATAGGCAATGTTTGTAAAAGTACCATATGCCAGGTACCATGTAAGCCCTTTAAATAGACAGAGCTTACACACTGTTTGAGTTCCATGTCTTAGTCCCATCTTTTTTGATCCTCACAACAACCTGTGAGGTGGGTAATATAGTCAATTCTATTGACAGACTGAGGCTGTGAAAGATTAAGTCATTCCCTTAAGGTCACATGGCTGGTTAATGACAGAGCCAGGCTTTGAAACTAGCCTAAGTTTTAACCACTACTTCAATTAGCCTTTTCCTACCTCATGGATGTCTTCAGTCAAATATCTTTCCATTCTGCTAGCCCAGGGGGTGGGGGATGGGGGAGGTGAGAGGGTGAGGGTCAGGTCCTAGAAAGCCTTGGAATGCACAAAGACCCACCTCTGACAACAAGGTCTGTTGTGAGCATCTTATCACCAATCTGAACTCTACGTGTCACTCAGCTCCACACCCAGCTTCCTCTGTTCTGATGTACACTGATAACCCAGGGTAAGAGGTTTCCAGAAAGGCAGCACATGCCCTGGCTTGGC